TTGGTCCCGCTCCCGACTCTGCTCCCGGTTCCTCGCATGGACGCCTCGCGTGGGCAGATCCTGCCTTTCTCACTTGATAAAATATCCCTTATTTTAACATTTTTAACAGGTCCCTTTTAATTTAACGTCTTTGTTTTGCTTCAGCAGCGCTGGCAGGACGGCGAGACCATCAGCATCAAGACGCGATGGGGACGGGCTCAGCCGCCTCCCACCGCAGCCCCAGTGCCGGGGGGCACCGGCTGGGCTCAGAGACCACCCCCAGGCCCCTCCATGCTCCACAACTGCCCAAGAGCCTGAAAATCCCCCGTGACTCATGCTGGGCCCCAGGGGTGCGGAGGGAGCGACAGCCGTGGGGGACAGGACGGGGGACACAGCAGGGCCGAAAGCACCGTGGCAAAACCAGGGGAGAAACAGCGTGTTAGGGGCACCCCGATGGGCTCTGCAACCACGTTAACCCTTTTGGTGCGGGAAAGCCCTGGCAGAGCGCGAGAAACCCCAGCTCTGTGCTAGGGAAGCTGCGGCCTCTGTCACCCGTGTGCTGAAAGTGGGCAGTGCTCAGCCATCATAGAACAGGGGCAGAGCCCTGTTCGGAGATGGGGGGGGATTTCATCCTGCTCCTCCAAAAAGTTGCCCGGAGAAACTGGCCGGTTTCCTGCAAAGGAAAAGTGACCAAGTCCATGGGTGAGGAATGAATGGGGCTGCCCAAATTGCTCTGAATTCTGGATCTTCCAGAGTTGCTCAAAGGTGCAGGATCAACTGGTGTCATGGTGCATCTGAGCCCACTCTGAGCTCAGTGCCATTCCAAGGCCCCTCCAGCCTCAAGGATTCCAGTATCCTGCAGGGTCTCTACTCCATCCCAACACAGTCAAGCTTTCCCAAGAAGGAGGAGGCAGTGGCGGTTAAGGAAAAAATCAAGAAAAGACAGAAAAAAGAAAGACAGAGGGGGCTGCATCTGGGAGCTTTTTAGCAGCACCTGGGTCTGGACCTTGTTGCAAGGTCAGGATGAGAACCAACACCCTAGTGCTGAGGGCACAAATGAACTTTAACTGCCCTAAGCATCATCAGCTGTGTGTCTACCTGCACCCATGTGTCCTGGGCCCTATTTAAGTTCAGGTTTTTAGACCTGTTGTATGATGAGGGAGGTTTTTTTTTTTGTCTGGGCCTGCTAGGGAAAAGGGTGCCTGGAAGGATTTGCAT